TTGATACTTAAGACAATTAAAAACAAGAAATTTAACTTAGTTTCAGCACATGTATGGTGTATATATATATCTGTATGGCTATGAGCTTAGGCTGGTCATAGACCTAAGACAATTGAAGCACTCTTTTCCACAGGTATGGGCTGCATTCTGTTTCACTCCCTATAAGCATTTGGTTTTGAACTACAGATATTACAGTAGTTACTAAATCTGAGACCATGTGCAATCTCACTTGGTTTTATTTCCCTTTAGGGTAGTTGCCTAAATCATAAAATTATGCTTCACTGTAGGGGTAAGAAATCTAATTTATTTATTTATTTATTTATGAGATAGAGTCTCATTCTGTTGCCCAGGATAGAGTGCAGTGGCGTGATCTTGGCTCACTGCAACCTCCGCCTCCCGGGTTCAAGCGATTCTCCTGCCTTAGCCTCCCAAGTAGCTGGAATTACAGGCACCTGCCACAACACCCAGCTAATTTTTGTATTTTTAGTAGAGATGGGGTTTCACCATGTTGGCCAGGCTGATCTTGAACTCCTGACCTCAAGTGATGCACCCACCTTGGCCTCTCAAAGTGCTGGGATTACAGGCGTAAGCCACCCTGTGCCCACACCTGGCCAAGGAATAATCTAATTTTTTTAAAAAAAACATAAAATGTGTTTATGAAACAGATTCCACCCAAATCAACACATAAATCACTCTAGTGGCAAAGTACTTTATTATGTCCCCTGAAAGGAGATTAAGACTCGACTCCTCTCCCAGCCGGGGCAGCCTGGGAACTGAGTGCCTCCCTCCAGTGGCGCCGAGAGCCTCCCAGCACCATGTCCATCTCTCTTCCTCTTGGCATCCATTGTGGCACTCAGCCCACCTCTGCCTCATTTCATGATTGTGTGCTTTTGTAGTTTAGAAACAGCTGAGGCAAGCATTTATGGAGAGGCCTCAAGCAGACAACTTACAGGGTGCTCCGTGCCAGTGCAGGTGCCTGGGCAGAGGAGCTGTAGCACAGCTGCAGAGGCGGCCCTGGGGGTGGCGGCGACCTCTGCTCCCAGGAGGACGTGGAAGGCCACTGTGGGGCAGCCCTGCAGGGGATGGAGGACTTTTGGAGGACTTTCTGAGAGAGCCGTTAGGAGGGGGTCAAGGGCTGCAAGTTCCACAGTGGGGCCCTGTTGTCCCAGCCAGAAGCAGCACCAGTGACTGTCCCACCTTGGAGCCTGGAGCGAACGAAGGACTTGTTAAAACAGATTGTTGGACCCACACTGCGTTTCCCGATTGGGAGTCAGGAGTAGGCCTGAGAATGTGCATTTCTAACGAGTGCCCAGGTAATGCTGATGTCGCTGGTCCAGGGACCACACTTTGAGAACCAATGTGATAAATAATCAAGAAATGTCTTTTGAATCAAATGTACTAAAATATTCACAAACCTTTCTCCACCCAAAGGATGCGAATGAAAGGGAGACATAGAGACTGTTAAAGCTATAGGCCAGTCTGCAGGTGGTGATTTTTTTTAAAAATGTGGTTTGGAATCTGGAGTCCGAGGCCTGGACCTAAATCTCGCCACAGCTTTGTGCTGGCTGAGCACCCTAGGAAGGATGGCTACTTCACAGCGCAACCCCTAGCTCCACGCCTGTTATCCAAGGATGACTGACTGCATGGCCCTCAGAGCAGCGGAGACTGAATTTCGTATGGCAGGACCTCATCTGAATATATAGTAGGTGCTCAATACGTGCTATTACCCTCTTCCCTTTTTGGCAGTAGACAGATAAGCTTTTTCTATGACTGATACTATGTTAGATGTGAAAATACTGATGCCTAGAGTGTAACATTTCATCACTAGCCTTCAGTGGTAATTCATAAAATTTGAAATGCATGGAAAGCCAGATTTTTCACTGACTTCTCCTCCTTATTAATCTTACTTCATATTCATGGGTGGCCCAAAAGTTTTCATAGCTTTGAACTCTCTGTCCCAATATTTTTAAGTACATGGAACTTGTTAGCAACTTCGATTTTTTATTCAAATGAAGTGCCATAACACTTCAAATCATGTCAATTCCATGACACTCATCTTCAGAAAAGATCTTTCAGTTCTAATCTTAGAAAGCAAGTTTTTAAATTATGAAAGATATGCTTCTTATATTCTCCTCCAAATCCTGCTCCTGAGCAGGGCTATTGTTGTTTCAATAGTTTGTTCCTTTTTCACAGCTGAGTGTTTCACTGTATGGATGTATCAACCATGTGTTTATCCATTCACCCGGTGAGGGCTGTTTGGGTTGTTTTCCTTTTTTTGGCTATTCCAAATAAAGCTGCTATGAATATCTGTATACAAGTCTTTGTGTGGAAACATGCTTTTATTTTTCTTGGGTAGATACCTAGTAGTGGAATGGCTGGATCACATGGTAGGTCTAATTTTCACTTTTAAGAAACTACCAAACCAGGCTGGGCACAGTGGCTCACATCTGTAATTCCAGCACTTTGGGAGACAGAGGCGGGAGGATCGCTTGAGGTCAGGAGTTCAAGACCAGCCTGAGCAGCATAGCGAGACCCCATCAGCTTTACAAAAAAATAAACAATTAGCCAGGCATGGTGGCATGGGCCTGCAGCCCCAGCTACTCTGGAGGCTGAGGTAGGAGGATTACTTGAGCCCAGGAGGTGGAGGTTGCAGCAAGCCATAAATGCACCATTGCTCTCCAGACTGAGCGAAAAAGACCACCTCAAAAAAAAAAAAAAATTAATACAACTCTTAATACACAACTATAAAATGCAGAGAGTCACCAAGGAAATAAAATCACTATAGTTATCGTACCAACCAGAAATTACCACTATTGCTATACCATTCAGAAAGTTTTTTTCATGTATATATAAAGGGAAAGAGTTTTATTATTTTTTGTAAAAACTTGAACTATTTATTAATTCTTTAAATTTTTAAATCAAAATTCTACATGTGCATTTCTAATGAGTGCCCAGGTAATGCTGATGTCGCTGGTCCAGGGACCACACTTTGAGAATCAATGTGATAATCAAGAAATGTCTATTGAATCAAATTTACTAAAATATTCACAAACCTTTCTCCACCCGAAGGATGTGAATGAAGGGGAGACAGAGACTGTTAAAGCTATAGGCAGTCTGCAGGTGATTTTTTTTTTTTTTTAAATGTGGTTTGGAATCTGGAGCCTGAGACCTGGACCCAAATCTCACCACAGCTTTGTGCTGGCTGAGCACCCTGTATATAATTTAAATCATTGTATAAGTCTCACTATAAAAAGTTGCAAAAATTAGGCTGGGTGTGGTGGTTCACGCCTGTAATTCCAGCACTTTGGGAGGCTGAGGCGGGTGGATCACAAGGTCAGAAGATGGAGACCATCCTGGCTAACGCAGTGAAACCCCGTCTCTACTAAAAATTCAAAAATTAGCCAGGGGTGGTGGCAGGTGCCTGTAGTCCCAGCTACTCGGGAGGCTGAGGCAGGAGAATGGCGTGAAGCCAGGAGACAGAGCTTGCAGTGAGCTGAGATCGCGCCACTGCACTGTACGCTGGGCGACAGGGCGAGACTCCATTTAAAAAAAAAAAAAAGTTGCAAAAATTAAAAAATATTAAAAGTTGTAGTCAGCCAGACGTGGTGGCTCACACCTGTAATCCCAGCACTTTGGGAGGCTGAGGCAGGAGGATCACTTGAGCCGAGAAGTTCAAGACTAGCCTAGGCAACATAGTGAGACCTCTGTCTCTACGAAAAACAAAAAATTTAGCTGGATATGGTGGCACATGCCTGTGGTCTCAGCTACTCAGGCTCAGGAGGAGCATTTGAGCTGGGGAGTCAAAGCTGCAGTGAGCCAAGGTCACACCACTGCACTCCAGCCTGGGTGACACAGCAAGACCCTGTCTCAAAAAAAAAAAAGAAAAAAGAAAACCTTACAATAAGTGAAACAGGTAGAGAGCAACAAAATATATTCAATTCAAAATGAACTCTCTAACCACTGCCCACATCCCCACTACAGTGTACTCATCAGAATAGTCAGTGATACTTTTATGATATAGGTTGGATCACATCATTCTTTTGTTTAAAAATTTCGAATGGTTTCCTGTAACATATGAGATAAAAGCCAACCATGGTAAAGTCATCCTTCCCATGACCTCAGAGCAACCTCTACCATCCCATCTGCCCATCTGCTCTCCTCCCCTTCAACCACACTGCTCCAGCCACTCTGGACAGCTTGCCAGTCCTTGACTGCACCCAGCATGCCCCTGCTCACAGCCTCTGCACATCTTTCCTCTGCCTGTGCTGATCTCCCCCTGGATGGGCTGCATGGCTGCTCACGCTACTGTGTTCCATGCAAGTTGGTCTCTGCTCTAATGCCACTGCCCCAGAGGATCCTCCCTCAGCCGCCCTTTATAAAATGGCCTACCTTATCATTTATCTCTTTTCTTGCTTTTTCTTCATTGTACTGAGTTCCCCAAAACATTATATATATTTTTTACTATCAGCCTCCACCCAGTTGGAACCTACGATCTTTAAAGGTGGGGGTCTCGTTCAGTGCTGTATTCCCAGTGCTTAGAATGTGTCTGGAACACAGGAGTTGCTATCTGTTGCATGCATAAATGAACTCAGAACAAGAATGCCTGATTTTCCAATGTCCTTACCAGGTTTTATACATCTTTATAATCTTTGCCAATCCAATATGTGAGAAACAGTATTCACTTCAATTTGTATTTCTTGAGTATGAGTGAGGTAGAGTATCCTATCATGTTTTTTGGCTTGACCTTCAGAAAACTAATTTTTCATATCCCTTATTCAGTTTTTTTCCTTTTGCTTTGCAAGAGCTATTGACACATTAAAGAAATTATTCCTTTGTCCATCATATGCTGCAAAAATTGACTATGCCATTCCAAGAGCAAAACATTCATATTTATTTTCTACTAATACTTTTATATTTTTAAATATGAAAGATTACGTTTAGATCTTTGATCCATCTGGGATTTACTCTGGGGTGTAAAGAATAAGGAAGAGATCTACTTTAAAAAATAAATTTAGCTTTAAAATACAACGAGTATACATTTCTGGATACAACTATACAATTTACTGGCCGGGCATGGTGGCTCACACCTATAATCCCAGCACTTTGGGAGGCCGAGGTGGATAGATCACGAGGTCAGGAAATCAAGACCATCCTGGCTAACATGGTGAAACCCCGTCTCTACTAAAAACAAACAAAAAAATTAGCGTGGTGGCAGGCACCTGTAGTCCCAGCTACTTGGGAGGCTGAGGCAGGAGAATGGCATGAACCTGGGAAGTGGAGCTTGCAGTAAGCCAAGATCGTGTCACTGCACTCCAGCCTGGGCGACAGAGCAAGACTCTGTCTCAAAAAAAAAAATAAATAAATAAATAAATAAATAAATACAATCATATAATTTACTGTTGTTTTAACTTTCTCTTAGAATATTCATACTCTGAAAAATAAAATCAAACAAAGCTCACCTGCTTTATAATATACAATTTTCTAAGCACACTTGACATATATGTAAATATGTGTCAGAGCATATACATATATATGCAGTATTTTCCACAATTCTCTGGAATGTTACATTAAAATCTGATGTTATATCAATATTAAAATATTTTTCCAGAAAGTTTCTATTTCATTTTCTCAATGTCGTCTTGCTTTCTTGGATCTTGATTTCTTTTTTGTTACACTATATTTTTTCTCAAAAAGTTTCTTCTCAACTAAGCTCACTTCTTCATGGAGAAGGGAAGTCTTTATTCTGAGCAGGAAGGAGAAGAGATTTAGTATAAACTGATAACTCAGAGAATAATTTGATTCTTCATAGGTTGTCACGTGTGTACAATAGCTAGAAGGGAAAAAGAAAAAAGAATTTCTCTTTAGATGGTAACCAAGAAAGGCACACACTAACCCCTGAACATCTCCCCAAATAACAAATATATATGGTTAGGCTTAAAACAGGACCCTGAGCTGGAAGGAAACCTAGAAGAATTTGGTAACTCCTTAACTGCACAAAGGAAAACATGTTCACACTGTCCACGGCCACCACACAAGGGCCACAGGTGGTGCTAGGAGCTGGTCCTTCAACTCTCTGCTCGAAGTTTCTTCACTCCAGATGGGGCACCACTCCACCTTCTTACCATGGTCAAGGCAAACAAAAACATACAAGGAGATATTCTGAACATATTTCTAAAACAAACTAAAGAAAACAAATAATCCCCGACTTCCACCCAACATAAGACACTAGACTTTATAATGTAGCTTGCAATACTATATGTACTGTAGGAGAAGAGTTTACCAAGCAATTTCCCTTATTTTAAAATAGTAAAGCCTTCCATTCCAAAATGGCCAAATAGGAACAGCTCTGGTCTGCAGCTCCCAGCATGATCGATGCAGAAGACAGGTGATATCTGCATTTCCAACTGAGGTACCTAGTTCATCTCATTGGGACTGGTTGGACAGTGGGTGCAGCCCACGGAGGGCAAGACGAATCAGGGTGGGGCATCGTCTCACCTGGGAAGGGATTTCCCTTTCCTAGCCAGGGGAAGCTGTGACAGACTACACCTGTAAAATAAGGACACTCCCGCCCAAATACTGCACTTTTCCAACGGTCTTACCAAACAGCACACCAGGAGATTATATCCTGAGCCTGGCTCAGCTGGTCCCTTGCCCATAGAGCCTTGCTCACTGCTCGTGCAGCAGTCTGAGATCAACCTGTGAGGCAGCAGCCTGGCAGCTGGAGGGGCGTCTGTTATTGCTGAGGCTTAAGTAGGTAAACAAAGCAGCTAGGAAGCTTGAACTGGGCAGAGCCCACCACAGCTCAGCAAGACTTGCTGCCTCTGTAAACTCCACCTCTGGGGGCAGTGCGTAGCTGAACAAAAGACAGCAGAAACTTCTGCAGACTTAAACGTCCCTGTCCGACAGCTCTGAAGAAAGCAGTGGTTCTCCCAGCATGGCATTTGAGCTCAGGACAGACAGACTGCCTCCTCAAGTGGGTCCCTGACCCCCATGTAGCCTAACTGTGAGACACCTCCCAGCAGGGGCCAACTGACACCTCATACAGGTGGGTGCCCCTCTGGGACAAAGCTTCCAGAGGAAGGATCAGGCAGCAGTATTTGCTGTTCTGCAGCCTCCACTGGTGATACCAAACAGGGTCTGGAGAGGACCTCCAGCAAAATCCAACAGACCTGCAGCTGAGGGACCAGACTGTTAGAAGGAAAACTAACAGAAAGGAATAGCATCAACATCAACAAAAAGGACATCCACACCAAAACCCCATCTGTAGGTCACCAACATCAAAGACCAAAGGTAGATAAAACCACAAAGATGGGGAGAAACCAGAGCAGAAAAGCTGAAAATTCTAAAAACCAGAGCACCTCCTCTCCTTCAAAAGATTGCAGCTCCTCGCCAGCAACGGAACAAAGCTGGACGGAGAATGACTTTGACGAGCTGACAGAAGTAGGCTTCAGAAGGTCGGTAATAACAAACTTCTCTGAGCTAAAGGAGGATGTTCGAACCCATCGCAAGGAAGCTAAAAACCTTGAAAAAAGATTAGACAAATGGTTAACTAGAATAAACAGTGCAGAGAAGACCTTAAAAGACCTGACGTAGCTGAAAACCATGGCACGAGAACTATGTGATGCATGCACAAGCTTCAGTAGCCGATTCGATCAAGTGGAAGAAAGAGTATCAGTGATTGAAGATCAAATTAATGAAATAAAGTGAGAAGCGAAGTTTAGAGAAAAAAAGAGTAAAAAGAAACAAACAAAGCCTCCAAGAAGTATGGGACTATGTGAAAAGTCTGCGTTCGATTAGCGTACCTGAAAGTGACAGGGAGAATTCAGGAAATACAGAGAACACCACTCCTTGAGAAGAGCAACTCCAAGACACATAATTGTCAGATTCACCAAGGCTGAAATGAAGGAAAAAACGTTAAGGGCAGCCAGAGAGAAAGGTCGGGTTACCCACAAAGGGAAGCCCATCAGACTAATAGCGAATCTCTCAGCAGAAACTCTACAAGACAGAAAAGAGTGGGGGCCAATATTCAACATTCTTAAAGAAAAGAATTTTCAACCCAGAATTTCATATCCAGCCAAACTAAGCTTCACAAGTGAAGGAGAAATAAAATCCTTTACAGACAAGCAAATGCTGAGAGATTTTGTCACCACCAGGCCTGCCTTACAAGAACTCCTGAAGGAAGCACTAAACACGGAAAGGAACAACCGGTACCAGCCACTGCAAAATGTAAAGACCATCGATGCTAGGGAGAAACTGCATCAACTAACAGGCAAAATAACCAGCTAACATCATAATGACAGGATCAAATTCACACATAACAATATTAACCTTAAATGTAAATGGACTAAGTGCCCCAATTAAAAGACACAGACTGGCAAATTGGATAGAGTCAAGACCCATCAGTGTGCTGTATTCGGGAGACCCATCTCATGTGCAGAGACACACATAGGCTCAAATAAACGGACGGAGGAAGATCTACCAAGCAAATGAAAAGCAAAAATAGCATGGGTTGCAATCCTATTCTCTGTTAAAACAGGCTTTAAAACAACAAAGACCAAGAGAGACAAAGAAGGCCATTACATAACAGTAAAGGGATAGATTCAACAAGAAGAGCTAACTATCCTAAATATATATGCACCCAATACAGGAGCACCCAGATTTATAAAGCAAGTCCTTAGAGACCTACAAAGAGACTTAGACTCCCATACAGTAATAATGGGAGACTTTAACACTCCACTGTCAATATTAGACAGATCAACGAGACAGAAAGTTAACAAGGATATCCAGGACTTGAACTCAGCTCTGCACCAAGTGGACCTAATAGACATCTACAGAACTCTCCACCGCAAATCAACAGAACATACATTCTTCTCAGCACCACATTGCACTTACTCCAAAATTGACCACATAGTTGGAAGTAAAGCACTCCTCAGCAAATGTAAAAGAACAGAAATCACAATGAACTGTCTCTCAGACCACAGTGCAATCAAATTAGAACTCAGGATTAAGAAACTCACTCAAAACCGCACAACTACTTGGAAATTGAACAACCTGCTCCTGAGTTACTACTGGATAAATAACGAAATGAAGGCAGAAATAAAGATGTTCTTTAAAACCAATGAGAACAAAGACACAACGTACCAGAATCTCTGGGACACATTTAAAGCAGTGTGTAGAGGGAAATTTATAGCACTAAATGCCCACAAGAGGAAGCAGGAGAGATCTAAAATTGACACCCTAACATCACAATTAAAAGAACTACAGAAGCACGAGAAAACACATTCAAAAGCTGGCAGAAGATAACTAAGATCAGAGCAGAACTGAAGGAGATAGAGACACAAAAACCAAAACACCCTTAAAAAAAAAAAATCAATGAATCCAGGAGCTGGTTTTTTGAAAAGATCACCAAAATTGATAGACCACTAGCAAGACTAATAAATAAGAAAAGAGAAAAGAATAAAACAGATGCAATGATAAAGGGGTATCACCACCTATTCCACAGAAATACAAACTACCATCAGAGAATAATATAAACACCTTTATGCAGATAAACTAGAACATCTAGAAGAAATGGATAAATTCCCGGACACATACACCCTTCCAAGACTAAACCAGGAAGAAGTTGAATCTCTGAATAGACCAATAACAGGCTCTGAAACTGAGGCAATAATTAATAGGCTACCAACCAAAAAAAGTCCAGGACCAGATGGATTCACAGCTGAATTCTACCAGAAGTACAAAGAGGAGCTGGTACCATTCCTTCTGAAACTATTCCAATCAATAGAAAAAAGAGGGAATCCTTCCTAACTCATTTTATGAGGCCAGCATCATCATGATACCAAAGCCTGGCAGAGACACAACAAAAAAAAGAGAATTTTAGATCAATATCCTTGATTAACATCGATGCAAAAATCCTCAATAAAATACTGGAAAACTGAATCCAGCAGCACATCAAAAAGCTTATCTGCCGAGTTCAAGTTGGCTTCATGCCTGGGATGCAAGGCTGGTTCAACATACGCAAATCAATAAATGTAATCCATCACATAAACAGAACCAACGACAAAACCGTATGATTATCTCAACAGATGCGGAAAAGGCCTTCAACAAAATTCAACAGCTCTTCATGCAAAAAACTCTCAGTAAACTAGGTACTGATGGAATGTATCTCAAAACAGTAAGAGCTATTTATGAGAAACCCACAGCCAATATAATATTGAATGGGCAAAAACTGGAAGCATTCCCTTTGAAAACTGGCACAAGACAGGGATGCCCTCTCTCACCACTCCTATTCAACA